GCCGGGAGGGCGGGTGGGAACGCGGTTCGAAGACGCGACTGCTGTGGTTCCCTTGAACCTTTGGTATTAGGATCCCGTAGATGGCTATGAGAATGGGTTGACCCACCCAGATCTGCTGCCGCGGATCGCATGTCTGGAGAGGTACTGTCCGTGACATCATAGAGGCCGACTGGATCAGGCATGATCACAGTCGTACCGAGAACAAACAGAATCCAGTCAGCCGATGGCCGAGGAGACAGGGGGTTACCTTTTTTGCATCAATGCCCGGCCGCTGAAATCGATTCGTTAATAATCAATCCAGCCTGCGTGATCGTTGATGACATTCCTTTTACGCTGATGACTGCCTTCGGTTTTGTTACCTACGAAAGTCCTAGATTAGAACGCTAAGGCAAAACATAGTCAGCCTCTCCTTTTTATTTAGAGAAGCTACAGTTCATTGAGATATTTAAAAATTACGTCGACAATGTGTCCTCCTTCGGGGGCAGCAGCAAATTTCCGGTGGACTCCCAGCCAGACCAGTCCTTTTAGACCAGGCGAACCTATTTGTTTGAGCAGTCATTAAATGAGGTGATCAGAGCACTGTAGGTTGATGTATCGGTCCGGTAAAGTATACTCAAAAGGCCGATAATGTCTTGCACTAATTGACTACCTAGGAAATCGCCGGGGCTTTCTGTGGAACGAACGAGTGTAAACTGATTAACGAAAGCAAATAATGGCAATTTGCAGTATCACAGAATCAACCCATGTCCTTTTTCTACAGACAAGGTCAAAATTGTGCAACTCTGGGGTCACTACAGATTGACAGCTTTGACTGAACAGATTCCAAAACTAGACACAGGAGCGTCGAGAAGACATCCTCGAATTAGGCGTCTGAGTGAAAAAGGGTCGACAAGAAGGATATAGTCAATTAACACTGGCATTGAAAACGATTTAGAGGCAACGTTCCTTCAAAATACTAACAAGAGCAAATTCCGATGAGTTAAAGGGTAGACCAATCCTGGGGCAATTCTGCCACAAACCTGTCGGCTCAAACCGAGACAAAAATGAAGAACTGTCACGTGAAATTGAGGTAATGTTTAAAGTCAAGTGGAAAAAAGGAGTGGGTGATCTATCGTGAACACAGAGTGGAATACCTACCTTCTGTTTTGTTCTACAATTTTAACGCAAAGTCTACATGGGCTGTCGTATACAGATGAGAATCGGTACACAAGGTATTACTGAAGGTAACCAAGAGAACCGTAGTAGTCATTTCTGAAGTACACGTTGGTCACATCCAGCGTTTGACTTGAAATACCTGTGACTTCAGCCCAGGTTCAGTTGCAAAAGTGAGTTTAAAAGTCTATCAGTTGAGTCATACTCTGTTGGCTTCAGTCAGCAGAGTAAGGAATATAGTCTGATCGCAGGTGACAGTTAATTCTACGAGCAGAGATCTGCAAGATTTGCTGAACACGCCGACGATTAGTGAAAAAGATTTGGAATCGACAAAGTGAAGGTATAGCAGAACAGGAAGTGGTTGAGCGGTGGGAAATATGAACCCACCGTAGTACAGGTGGTCCTGCCTTAAATTCCAAGGAGCTTGCGTTATGGTAAGTGCTAGGAGGGTTACGGTGAGGGCTGAAGTTAGTACACACGAATAAAACCCCCGGGAATTTATATCGAGGCCACATGTAGTACGCATGTGGCGTCTGACCCAGGAGACACCGTACGCGTATTTATACAGTGAACCCACCTCTACGCTTCCCAGGTTGCAGATAGTAGTCAGAGTTGGGCGACTGAGAGCTATTTGTGGCGGCGGAGAACTCCGAAGGCGAGAAGGAAGATGCCGAGGGCAGAGAAATACTACCACCGGAGCTGGGGCTGCTGATTCCCGAAGAGCTACTCTCGTTGTACTGTTCTACGGCCGGATGAGCAGCGGACAGATCTGTCCAGCCAGACTCCACGAGCGAAGGCGCCGAAGTGAACTGATGAGCAGAGAAGTCATGTGGTGAAAGAGGATCATTCTTTATGTGTGTAATTGGGGATCGGAACACGGGGGGTTGGGCCGCCTCAATCAGACGAGTACCGCGCACAGGATA